GGAGCCTTGGCCGCACTGTCACGGTCATAAAAATGTGCAAAGTATTTCGTATGGCGCTACCTTCGCCCACACACTTTCGGAGCTAATAATAAGCGAGGCCATGGAAATGGTTTAATGCATAGGGAAAGCAAAAAATAAGAGGAGGGTAAAAAGAAAAGCTCATGGAAACAATTTTCTTGTTAAGTGGACTTTTGGACTTTACATTTTACTTGCTCCGGCAGGCAACTGTTTCACATTTGCCTTTATTGTACTCAAGTTGGGGCGTAAATTAAATGAAACACCATTTTTTGTTGCCTCATTTTCCGCGGACACTGGACGCCGTTTTTCATGTACTTCCGCTGATGATGCCAGGTCTGGATTTACATAAGGCTTTAAGCGGAAGTCCCTGAAATCATAGGTAATACCCAAGCCCAGACAGACCAGGATCCTGAGGCTGACAGATAAGGTAAGCTACTACCTCCTGTCTGCGGTCCATCACAGGAATATTAAATTGGAGCGGGAAAGGAATCCATTTGGGCTTGAATTCATTTGACCTGAAAATGGGATCAGCTGAACGGAATACACAATTTCCGAGGCATAAAGCAGAGCTTTGACATTTATCTATAATCGAATTGTGTGTCCTTTTTTCCTATTAATTGACTAATAATATTATTATTTCATACTCGGTTTTTTTGCACAGTTTTCCGGCTCGTCTGCCGCGGACATGATGATGTGGGAAAAAAACTGACTGGAAAATGATATTTTTCATATACAATTTAATACGGATATTTCAACTTTGAGCGTTTACATCCGTGGCCTGTTTTGGCTCTGTCATCTTTTTGCCACAATTCAATTTTCGTGCGACATTTGTTTTGGCAGGACATGAAAATGGTCAAATGTTTTTCTATAATGCGATTTCCTTAACGTTTTCTTTTATGTGCTTGTGTTTATGTGTGCGAGCGAGTGGCTTGAAAATGCTGATTGAAATGTCACCGAAAAAAAAGATTGGAAAAACAACAGATTTGTCCTTTTTCCTTTCTGTTTTCTTTTTTCCTTTTTCACACAGCATTTTTGTTTTTTTTTTTTTTGTCCCTGCCTGCCTTTTGTACGCTTTTATTTTAGTCCTGTTTCTGGTCGGTTTGTTTCGTGTTTGCAGCTGATTTGATTTGGCTTTCGGCCATTGTCCTGACCAACTCTGTTCTCCTTCTGCTAAGCGTTCGCACTTTAATCAAAGAGACGAGAAAAGAATGCTCCGGCTAATCTGCTAAGCGTTTTGTGACCCTTGGGGTATATGTTTTCCTGTTGTTATTATTATTTCTGTTGATGCCGGATGGAGCACTTAACGTATTACCCCATATGCCAGGATGCCAGGATGCCAGTGTTGCTTTCGGTCTGATGAATCATCATAACTAAACACCACACAATGTTACTTAATTGAGATTTTGCTTGTAATTGAAACCGAAAACTAAACTTGCTCTTTGTCTGGCCATCAGAGCACACCCACACAGTGTCCAATTATAATTTAATTAAATTCGAAGCACTTTATATGCAACTATTTTCGGCCCCAACACATACCACACCGCATCAACATTGCTGGCAGTCCGGCATCTCAAAACTCTGAAGCTGGAGTCCTGTCAGTGGTCGGTTTTTGGGCCAAATGCCGGGCACGTTTCCTTGTTTTTGCATATGTGTGTGAATGCCGCTTAGCTCTTCTCCACTTGGGAAAATGCTCCTCACTCTAAAGTGCAGAAATATGCCATGAAATATGGAGTTAAAGAACTATAAGCCTCTGCATTGGTACTAGGAAATTTCTTATATGTCTCAAGAGGACTCTGTTTACTCTATATAGTTCTTTAAACATTTGAATTCGATTTAAATTGCATTTTTACTAGCAGTGCATGCCTGTTGCCTCTCACTATGTGCAACAATATGCCACAACAATGAAGCGAGTCGTGCAGCAGGCCGTGCAACGAGGCGTATGAGTGTTGACTGCCGTGTGAGATGGATCTCTGTGTGTGTGTGTTGTGGGGTAAAGGGGCGTGGCAGTTCGCTTGGCTTATTATGCCGATGCATGCAAGGCCGCACCAAATCATAACGAATGACAGAACCCATTGTGAAACAGAGGGGAAAGCAGCCACCTGCCGGTTAGCTTAAAACCCAAGTAAAAAAATCAACAGAAAAACAAGTATTCAAAGAGAAAGCCCAGCTGCATTGAGTCACTTTGCTTTAGTTTATTAGTACGAGATATAATATATTCCCACACATTTGCTTGTGGAAAATTTTTGTAGAAAAACAAACAATGGGTGCTCAATGAGAGACAAAAGCTGTCAAAGTCAAAACTTTCTACAAAAAACAAACAAAAAGCAGGTGACTCTAGATATTGCTCATACGTGCCGTTGGCTGACACGACAACTGCATACCCTGCCTCAATGTTTATACTTGAAATTACTAAAACAAAGTGGGAAAAAACTTAGGGTTACCCTCACACTTTTTTCACAGCTACATCCTTCAGCGGTTTTGGCCAAATATGCTGGTTGGCTCCATATACATTTTGGCTTGGCATTGCATGCTATTCTTTATGTGATTTTATTTTTATTTTGTGTTTTTTGCCACTGCCATTCCACTTCACGCGTGCTTATCGCACACTCGTGAGGTGCTGACCTCGAGTGGCTCGTAAATAATAGCAGCTGAAAGCGCAAATAACTCACACTCGAAATCAGGCAGCTCGACATCTAAGACATGAAAGCGGCTACAATAATAATTGCAATTATCCTCCTTCTGCCTGCTAGCCAGCAAAGGTAACTTTCAACGACATCCCACCTAGGATTACCTTGATTAATTACGAAAAAATATTTAAGCTCTGCAGGTATGGAACGGAAAGTGCTGTCGTACAATCCCACCTATGAATTTTGGTTCTTTATGCCAACTGGCAGACCAAGTTATGTGCCTCAAAGCGTGAAAGACGTCTATTGGAAAACCAAATCGGTTTGCTACACCGATTTTTGGTTTCACTGCGGGAATGGTAAACCAATAGCGGTGTAAATTGATTTGTTACTGGTAAAAATATGAAACATTGGATGGGCTTAATGTGTTTGTGCAGAGACCTTGTATTAAAAAAGGTATTAAAACGATATTATTATACATCATTCATAAATAAATAATGATTTTGAATCAATAAGAGTGCAAACTATAAAGACATTGTAATGTAATTTAGATAGTTATTGTAAGGTTCTTGTTTTAAGACCTTATAAGGTTTATGAGTACAGATTACGGGTATATACGATTTGTGATAGGGATTATCAGCTGAGTTAATACGCACAATACTTTCTAAGTACAATGTTTTTACCATCCAAAAAATTTATAAATGTCTTAGCAAGCTTGAATTTTATCCTCCCAGTTTCTTCCACGATCCAATTTTTATATTTCGTTACTTTTATGATTTATCCTATTTTATTTCGAAGTAATTGCCCTATATTTTGAGTAGTTTGAAAATCTGGATACTTTCGTCGTTCTTTAAGCATTTCCCAATTGTTTAGTGTGTTTCTAATTCTCCTGTTTGATCTATTTAATAAGGTGCTTCCTATAAATTATAATTGATCATCCATATCTATATTATATTTGAAGCAAAGTAAGAACTTTAAAAGTGAACCCTTTTTTAATAACAATATAAACATTAGTTAAACTTTTGGTATACCTAAAACTATTTCTAAAACCTAATATAGTTCAATCACACATTGTTATTCTAACAATATATAATATAATTCAAATTTAAAGATTTATTTTGCATATAATTTAATTTGAGTCAATATATACTAAAATAGTTAATCAAAAAGAATTAATAGTTTTTAGTTATTGCAACGTTCACGTGTAATGAACGTGATTGCAAATTTATGATTTAAAATCAGCGTAAAGCGTGAACTTGATTATTATAAATAAAACATTTTAACTGCCTATTTTAAAATCCAAATTGTATTTTTAGTGCATTTATTGTAAATCTGATAGAGGATTAAATACATTAAAATGAATAATGTCAAAATCACAACGAATTATTTTTGTTTTTTATATTATATATACAACATTTATAGTGAGCTTTGCAGGAATATTAAAATGTGCAGGGCTTTGTTTATATATTAATTAATTTGCTTAATAATTACCTTATTAACTACGTTTTAGGTATTTTGATTTAACAAACGTATACTATGAGTTCATTATATTGTTATTAAAGCTGAATTTAATATTTTATTTATTTGTTATGCAACCTGAATCTAATGATTTTAATTTACTCATTTTCCCATTATTTATCGATCTTCATTTGTGGTGTGTACATGTTAAAGAGTTTTGATGATGAAAATTCAACTTGCAGTTGGAATTATTATTAATATTATGTTTACTTTGGCCAAGGTTTGGACAAGAATGGAAGGGAAGGGAGGAATCGGCAAAAGCAGACATTTTATTGCATCGCCGTGGGGCAGAGACACTGTGAAATAGAGTCCTTCCGAGGAGAGAACATTATGATTCCTCATATACAGTTTCCCAGTTTCGCAGAGCTCCTCCTCGGTGTGCATTTATTTTTTAACATTTGTATTATGTTGCATCACGCAGAGGAAATGAAATATAAATTAATTTATGAATCAAGGCGATGGCCAGAGAGAGATAAGAGGAGGAAGTGACAGAGGAAGCCGCATCAAAGCAATGCCATTGCGCAGTCAAATTTATGATAAATAACCAAGCTATATGAAATGCAAAACTACAACGAGTATTTGTATATACATATACGTATGTATAGCAGGAAGTTTGAGCTGGAAGCGATTGTTGGCTTTTCCAGACTGGCAAAAACTTTCCCAAGCAGGAGAATGAAGTGCGTGGAAAATGAGTCATTTGTTGTAGTTGCTGCAGGCGTTGCGTTGCTCCTTTCGCACAAATAACAAGTCAAAAGTGAAGACAAGTTTCCGACAATCCCCGAAATCCAGCCAAGAGAGTTGAGCGGAACAAAGCCAAAGGAGCTCGGAAAAAGTCTCAGAAATGTTGAGACTTGAGAATGCTGTTGCATGTATGTTAAATACATCACTTGTCTCAGTGCATTTTAGCTTGAATTCATCCATTCAAAATTTTAAACGGCTCCAGAAAGTATGCAACACTTTGGGGGCATCACGTATACGCCATGTGGGTTAAGAGATTCAATTATAAGTTATGTTAACTAATAAGTTTTTATGAATATTAAAGAAAATCAGGAACGAGAGATGTGTGCGACTTATTTGATTATTTTTCTTAATGAAAATCTTAAGAGTATACAATTATTTAAATTATTATTTATTTTCTTTCTTTGATGGAGTCTATTATAGGCAAAGTTTTCTAAAAATATATAATTAAAACTTTATGGAAATTTCCAAATACATATATTTTTTCAATCAACTTCTCGGAAAGTTTTTGTGGTGCATCAAAAATATATTTCAACTTATTTTAAACAAATCGAATTGGCATTCTGACTGGCAAAAACTTTGAACCAAATAGGAAAACTAACTGCCAACTAAATGTCTGCAAATCAAAACATATTTGATCGGAAAAAAATCGGTTCTTTGCTGGGGAATTCACCACATATCTCTCAGGCTCAGACAAAGTGCCAACTAATCTCAGTTTTTTTTGCACACACACACACACACACACATCGAAGCCAAAAAATTGAAATTGTTGCCGTGTGGGGGGGGGATATTGTTCACTAGTTTTAGTTTTTCAATGTTTTCAATTTATTTCGACAGGTTTTAATTTGGCTTTCGGAATTATAAAATAGTACGTTTAAAGCAATCAAATTCTCTGAGCGGCTAAAACGATTTTATTTCATCTTTCATTCCACAAAATATTTCTTCATTTGTGTGAAACTATGGCCAGTATCAATTGACTTTGCTTTAAATGCATGGAAAATGAAAAGAAATACTGTGGATTTACGTTCATTTCATGTTTATACAACACGCTCATAAATATTTATGAGCATTATGATGCAAAAATGCTGCAACATAATCAAAAAGCTGAGCATTGCAGGGAGGAGAACCACCAGCAACCAAAGCCCAATGCAATCAAATCAGGCGAGATAGAGGTGATGAAGGACCCGCTGGCGGGTCTTTCGAGGAGCACAAGCAGCATCCTTACGAGCAGTGTGAAAATTATACACCGCTGACAATAAAAGACAGCCACCCGGAGTGCTGGCGGTTGAATGCAATGTCATAAAAGATTCCTTGTCTCGCATTTCCTTCCTTCCTTCCTTCCACAAATCGAAGAGGGCAGCGTGATGAAAAAGGTGAAGTATACGTACAGGTGCGATGGATGGATATCCCCCAGCTCACAGCTGGTCAACGTCAATGCGACAAATATGCAAAATATACAAAAATGTCGATGAGCTGGGATTGCTTGTGCACTGATGCGTTCAAATGGGATTTCTGAATACCAATTTACGAGAAATCAGCAAGGGAAATCGGAAATGTAGAAAGTCACCAAGGAAAGTAGTGATGATGAGCATCGAGAGTGTGAAAATAGCAAATCAGCTCAATACTTAAAGGATAATGCAGCGAGACCAATTAAAAACTAATTAAGAAGTCGAAAAATTGTATATATTTTATATTAATTGAACCATTATTTGTCTAAAAAATATCTAGTAGGGGTTTTTGGATTTAAAAGTTCAGTATTCACTAGCATTTTACCCCGTTAAGATCTGAATTTCCTTCGCTTAACTATATATTTCCCATACATCCTCAAAATACCTATCATTTTGCTTTATTTAATCCCCATTTTGAGCTATTTAAGATGAATTAAGCTCAAACAATCGCATAACCCCAGAATTCCTTTGCATACCAAAATGAAAATTTTATCTTAACCAAAAATAAATCTCCCCTGGTATGCATCATGATTCCTCCTGGGCTTCATTTTCAATTGCTAGCCATAAAGTTGGAACCATAAATAGCCGCAAAAATGTTGGGACAATCCTCATATGGAAGCCAGCGCAGAAGAATGCTCCTCACGGATATTTATTCCATTACCGAGCAAGTGACTTTTGTTTTCTGTTCGCCGCTGTTGCTGTCCAGCACAATGAGCTATTGCCCTGCGACCGGGATTGGGAAGTGACTTCGCCTCCTCCGGCTTCTGTTTGTGTTCCTGTTCCTGGTCCCATTCCGGGTGGGATGACACCCTCTCCACTGTCCGGTTACCATTCGTTTTGCGGACGGAAATTTACGATTTACACGTATGCCAACTGCAATGGCAACTGCAAATGGGAATTTGGGGGCAAGGATTTGGGGAGTCATTGCTGCTGGTCCTGCTGCTCCTGCTCCTGATGGTGGTTGGTGGCAACGATAATGGTTTCCAGGCAGCGACTGTTTTCCCTGTTGTTTTGGGATTGGTAAAAAGAAGCAATCGCTTATAGTACAACAATGGCAAGTGAGCTCCGCGGTATGCAATAGCAGTCTCAAGTATATCCAGCACATGCCACACATCAAGCGGGGAGACCAACAATTATTGCCAAGGCTGACAACAATAAAGGTGGGGGGTGGAGAGAGATGGCATTGAAATTCAATTTCATTGTTGTGCGGAAAAACAGCAACACCAAAAACGGTTCCACGGCGGCAGTCTTGGGTGCTGCTGCTGCTCCTCACTGCTGTTTACACAATCATTGTGTTTGCATGGCCAATGCATTTTCCTTGTTCGCCTCTCTCTTGAAAGGAGGAAAACCAGAATGGCTAGGATGAAACCGTTGCCTTCGCTGCAGATTTTTGATTTATCGCAACGCACGTACCAGGAATTCGAACTGCTTCTGCTACTGTGTTGTGTTGTTTCATGCAAATTTCTACTCGGTTTTTCCTCCTCTATCTGCTTTTTTGTTTTGCCTAGCATAGAAGCAGCAAATTTGGTCCTGTGCTGGGGAAAAAGAGTTGAGCCAGCAATTAACAAAGGGGGGAGAAAATCTATTGAGGGAATTCAGGCAGGAAATTAATGAAGCTAAAGTTGATAATGGGGAAATGTTGGGGTTGTTTGATAAACAATTTAAAATAATTTCGGTTTTGGATATCCAAGAATTCTAGCAGAACTTAAAAGCAATCGTAATCTGAAAATGTTCTTTAAATATTTGTCTCTCTGGTGAGGCTGTCTCAAATAAAAACAAATAAGAAATAATGAAAAATCAAACATGGCATGCATGCTATAATATTTCTGAAATCATTTTCAG